TCGAAAATTAATTAGCTCGTTAGCAAAGTTTGTGGTGGAGTCGCCGGCAGGACTCGCAGGACCTCACAATGTACTTTATGTGCGCTCGTCGTACACGCAAAGTTGCGGGACTTGAGCGGGCAGACTTTATCGACGTTATCAATTATTGAACTTTGCGTTCCTAACTTTTACTCGTCCTTCGTCCTTACGCGTGTCAGTTTCAAGCGGCTTGTGTCAAAGTTGCAAATTAGCAAAGTGGTCGAATTGATAAATTTACAAGTTTCTGATTCCCCAAGCGGATTGTTGGCTTTAATTGACAATGCGCAAACAGGACTAAACAAGAATAAACCTAAATAAACAAAATTAAAAAAATAATTATTACGTTATATTTATATTTACTTAATTTAAAATAAATTTATAAATTTTTCATGTTTTCCGGTTTGCATTTCCGGTTTTCCGGTTTCTTAAATAATTAAAATTAATATCGCAATTTTTTATTATAATCTATATATATAAAATTTGCGTGTCACAGTGTTTGTTTCCATACTCCTCCGAAACGGCTTTACCGATTTTTACCAAATTTTATATGCGTATTCAGTAGGTCTGAGAATCGGCTAACATCTATTTTTCATACCCCTAAGTGATAAGGGTTGTTCACCCTTAACTTTTTTTTTAAATTTTGGACAAATTCTTTTGTTTTTATATTTTTTATAATGTGGAATTAAAAAATACATACAACCCTAAATTTTTAGTTTTTTATCACCAACCCCTATTTCTTTATAGCCATTTTAGTAATTTAATCATTTTTCATCCCGCTCAAAGAAAATTTTTATATGCGTATTCAGTAGGTCTGAGAATCGGTAACTTCATATCTTTAAGTGATAAGGGTTGTTCACCCTTAATTTTTTTTTAAATTTTGGTCGAAATTTTTTGTTTTTATTTTTTTAATGTGGCATTAAAATATACATACAACCCTAAATTTTTGGTTTCTTATCACCAACCCCTATTTTTTATACTAAGTAAGTTACTTTTTGTCTACACTAAAATTTATCTAGAAACTTGAAATAATTTATATGGCAAAACAACGTTTGCCCGGTTAACTAGTTTTAATATAATTTTATTAATATTTCCAGTTAATATTTTTTATGTTTTCCGGTTTTCCGGTTTTATTTTTTTCTGCCTGTATAAACGTTTTTTAACGTGTTTTTTTCTCTATCGCAACCCTCATTCTTCTAGTCGGCGAACGTCTGCGTCTGTGACTGCTCGTTTTTTGTTATCCCGCACACAGTGTTCGTCCTTTTCACCCCATTTCAAACGAGTTCGTTTTGTCGCCCCTGGAGACACCTAGTTAGTTACAAAGATAAATAGTGCAATCATAACGAAGTAACAAGATTTACTTTTCTACTTTTCTTCCGTATCCTTAAAATAAAAGCACGAAAAAAAAACCGGTTAGTAGAGCAGGAAGCGGATTCTTTCCGTTAAAAGAAAGAAAGAGATTTCTCCCACGCGGCGCGATGCAAGATAAACGAGTCGTTTGAGTATCTTTTTAAAGAGATTGATGCCGCCAATTCGAGAAACAATTCAGATAGAAATCCAAGTCGGGGGCGGCGGCATTCTAAAGGTGGTGGTAGTGGCGCAAACGCTTTGTACAAACAAGTCCCGTGAGAGTATAGATGCGACGGCGTGCATTATCTTCAATTTTTTAACATTTTAGCCCACATTCCGACGTTTTCCGGTTTTCCGGATTCCGACACCGGAAAACTAAGCGACTTTATAAATTTTCCACTTCATCTTCACCGACATAACTGGCAAACTGTTTTCGAACAATTCCCGAAGAAATTACTTTCGATAATTCATCCCGGGAAACCCACCCCCAGTTAAAAAAAGAAATTAATTAATTAATAGTGCGTTTATTTAGAGGGTGGCACCGCCCCCGGCGGGTTTTATTTACGCATGAATGTGACGATGACGTCGACATCGCTATGCGAAAGCAAAGAGAATCGCAGATAAGCGATAAGGGTAGTGGGGTTGCGGGGGGGCGGCGGTCGAGATAGGGCGTCACATCGAATATGCAGTGTAGTGTTCAATCAATTTACTGTCAAGTGTAATACCGACTGCTCGTATATCAATCGGTGGATTAATGAGTGCGACAGCCAGAGAGTGATGGGGGGCGGCTGGCGTCGTATTCATGAGCCGTTATTTGCGCGCCTAAACAAGGCAGTCACAACAGGGTTGTACCATGAAAAAATTAAAAATGAAAATTTAAAATTTTGTTTTATTATGAATTTTAAATACGGCCCTGGATGCATGTGGTAGTTACATGACATATTTACGTATTCAAATATTATTCAAATGTAAAGCCGGCAGACGGCGTCGATCGGCAATTTTATTATGCAAATCGTTGATTGACTTCCAGGCGTGTTCGCCGCCGCCGTCACGAAGGGATGTTATCTCTGGTGCACGTCTGTCAAACACATCATGTCATATAAATGCAATTCTTGTTAATACATCAAAACACATCAAAACATAAAATAACCTAAAAATATTTCAATTTAATGCCGGTTCTGTGTTTTTTTATGAGTTTTTTTGAGTTAGATGCAGGATATTCTCAGTTTTAATGGAAATTTTTCTGATTTCATTCTTGAAATTTAATTTCGGAAGCATTCCAGGTATTTGTGTATTTTTGCTGCTACTCCAGGGTTGGGTGGAGGCGGCGACATGTGCGCGTATATATAAACAACGCACGCAAAACGCGCGAAGAAGAATTAAACGCTCCCCAGACGGACGCAATCCGGCCGCCGCACACAAGCCGTGCGCAAACATTTTCACAAATGCCGTATCACACACGGCGCCTCCACCACCGCCGCCGCCAGCACGCCAAAAAGGATAATGAGTCGCAACACAACAAACGCGCGCGCGAAACTAAACTCTCGCTCGAGATATTTTAATTATCAACCGAGGCAGGAGACCACCGCGTGTGTCTGCGAGTTAATTAAATAATATACAAAGTGTTTAAATAAAAAATTAAAATTATAAAAAGTATTTTATTTATTTTTAAAAGTTTTATGTTTGATTTTTAATTTTAGTTTTTTTTATAGCAAACACTCTGTATATTTGTGCGTATTTTAAGTTTTCTAAGCCTGAGGCATGAAAATTAAAACAAAGGAGACATTTGTGTGGCACCAAAGAGGCGCTAGGCCGCCGTGTGTCGTCCGGGGGTGGATGTCGTTTGATAGCACGCGCTTTCATTCGAATAAATTTTATTTGTTTCTCGCCAAGGCAGCGGCAGCGGTCGAAAATTTGGCGAAAACTCAACTCGCGTCGAATTTATCGCCTGCTTGCGTCGGCCCTCCAGTGCCGCATCTATTATACCTTTACTAGCGGGGGGCGGCGTTAATTAAAGACGTTTGCTCAACCATCCAGAGATGTAAATTGTAAATCAACACTTTTTTTAAGACAATGAGCTAATTTAATACGCAAAAGTAAAAAAATAAGTTTTTTTAAGGTTATGATAGGTTATGTTAGGTTATGTTAATATCTCATGTAAAGCATGTAATAGTAATACGTGGAATCTTTCCACTCGGAAGTAATGTGTTTTTGTTAGCGCGCGCGCACGAGCTTTGAAAGCTCCGCAAGCAATAACAATATTTCTCGCCGACATTTGAATACCGCACACGGGAAATTCTATTTTCCGTCGGCGTGCGTGTAAATTTTTGTGTGCGCATGTTAAAAATGACTTAAAAATAAAATTTAAGCTTTTTTCGAACGAAAAATTTCTAAAATTTAATTGCCTAAAAACTCGTCTAGTGTGCTTTAGGAAAAAAGTTATTAATTTATCAATGCTTTGAACTTTTTTGAGGTAAATTTCGTGTCGGCCTTCGTGTGTTCATGTTCCCGGCTTTTCGGAAAGCTTTTTCGAGCACGTAAAACACTCACTAACGCTGCGCGAAAATTTCACCCGTTCGGCACGTCCTCGCCCGCTTCATTCTCGCCGCACTTTTCGATTTTATTTTCCGGCTCCGTTTTCCATTCGCGTTTCATTCTCCGATATCAAACGCAAAACCAGAAAATTCGACTTTTGCAAACGTTACACTCACACCAACACACATCGGGCACATGCGGGCTTAGCAGACGAGGTTGAAACTAGTCGTTGAAATTCCCATTCGGGTAAATGCAAAAGCTGCGTTTGAATGCAAATGGAAAGCTAGTCAGCCGCCCCGGCTTCGATTACAATCACTCATTGGTCATTCATTTCGACGCTTCGGAAGGCGGCGGAAAAAAATAACGCGCAGGTAAAAAGTAGACTTGTCGAATTCGCCGACGAAAAAATCCGCTTGTTACACCCGGCCCGAAATCCTAAAAAGTGACCAATCTATTCCATGCGCTTAAATTAAAATCCCCACGAGTATTCGAAAATTATATTTGTCACTAAATGAAATTCGAATCTTTAATTTGGCACGTACGCTGATTTAGAAATCGGCGAATCGCGAATTTATTTGCACTTATTTTGCCCGGGCTTGACAAATTTCGAAACACGGACGTGTCACATATTATTAATTCGCTTTTGTAATTAAATCCATGGCGTCACGCGCTGTCGATGAAATTCGATTCGTGGCGTGCGCACGAATTAAAAGCAACATTAGCGTGTCGCGCCGGAAACCGACTTGCAAATTGATAAATGAATACCAGCCGGACCGACGTTGATATAAATAACGTTTATTTTTCCATAAACAACTAAATTTTAAAAACCGGAAAACCGGAAATTTGTATTTTATTGCACCTTTTTTCATTATTTTTTTGTTTGTTTACAGAATATTTTTAAATAAACAATGTTTTTCAATGGAAAAATTAAAACCGGAAAACCGGAAATCAATATTTTATCACACTTTTTATCATTATTTTTTGTTTGTTTACAAAATATTTTTAAATAAACAATATTTTCCATTGAAAAATTTAAAACCGGAAAACCGGAAATCATTATTTTATTACAATTTTTCAATGTTGTTTTGTTTGTTTTGCAGAATCTATAGACTGGAATCAGTCGCACACGCGTCATTCAACCGGAACGCACAGACGTTCGATTCGAGCTGACAGCCACACGAATGGCGGCGCCGCATCCGGCGCTAGTGGCGCTGCCAACAGCGAAAAGAACTACATTCAGCTCTACTCGAACCAGCACGTCAAGCTGACACTCGAGTGCGCCGTGAACATCAACTTCAGCACGAGCATCTGGCTGAAGGACGGGCAGATTGTCCAGACAATTCTCAAGGACAATGCGAATAATAAGCGCGTCAGCGGCCACCGCTTCCTCGTCGATAATCTCGGCAATCTTTTGATTGACAATGTGCGTCTTGAGGATGACGGCAGATGGCAGTGCGAGGCGGAGGATCCATTTGGTTTCGTCGTCAACGGAAAACCAATTCAATTGACTGTTGTTGGTAAGTGAAACACTCTGTATATACGTTTTTTTTTATCTTAGGCTGGTTAACTGACAAAACGTCCGAAACACAAACCTCTCTTAATTTAAATACCATCGGAGGCGGCGGGCATGTACGCGTAGATATCTTCTCTGGGGTTTCGAAAAGCTTCCGCCTTCCGGTTCGGTAATATATCGTAATCATTAATCTCGAGACCCACCTTAGAATGGCTCTTCTAAGAATGGTGGCCTGCTTTCGACGGCGGCGGTGGCGGCGGCGGTGAATTGTCTGCGAAAACCAATTATTCACATTTAACAGAAATTGGTACCGAACGGAAACCGCACTTAATCATCGCGCGAAACGATGGAGGCGGCGGCGGTGGCGGCAAACCAAACACTTTGTACCATTAAATAAATTCTCAATGACCAAGGACTGTATGTAATTGACAGTCGAACGCAATAATCGCATATTTTGACAGTTGGTGTCAGTGAATAGGTTATGTCTGTCATTTTTGACGTTTTAGTCAATTTTGACAACATAATAGTGGGTTTTGCGGTCTGGTGCGTTACGGGGTGACAAAACGATTGTGCTCCAACACCCTTTACAACCCTTCGGGGCGGATGGGACGCGTTGCGCACCCTTTTGCCGCTTGACAAACTTATGCTTCACGTGTGTCATAAGTTGTCTTTTTCAACGCATTGTGTTATTTTTTATCGTCGAAAGGGTTGAATAGAATCGCATAGAATAGGGGGCGGCATGAAAAAACGACGCCATCATCGACGATTCTAGCAGACACAGACACACAAGGGTGTTTTCGTTGGGGGCGGTTGCGGTTTCTGCTGTTTTTTTGCTCGCTCTTCTTGCTTTTATCCAACGGTCTGCTTTCTGACTAGCGCGCGCGTTTGACGTGCGTGGTTTTTACTCATAACGCCGCAGCATGTTTTCATGAATTCTCATTCTTGGGATGTAATTTTTCCATTAAGTTCAACGAGATGAAAATAAAATGTTTTTTAGACTCCTAACGCGGGGATGGTTTGCGTTTAATTCGTTATCAACGACTAGAGGGTGGTGTGACAGGTTTAGCCACTGTCTGGTTAGTGTTACGCGTCAGCCGGAAACACGACACGGAACGTGTTTGCAAAGCGGAAATTTAAAAATAAAAAATTGTGCAATGTTTTACTCTAGGCATACTTTTATACTCGTGTTGTTGGATATTGGGTTGCCTAGCTATTGTATACATGTATATTTGGTTGCATACATTGTTTTGATTCTTAATTTTTAGTTTTAGGATTTGTGCGGTATTCGTAAATTTATGATGATATTGAGTGAAGTGAACTTTAACAATTGCCCTTTTCCTGCTTCCTGCACTTTCCGGCCAAACCGATAATAGCAGCGTGTGTGCGCAGGACACGAACGAGCGCGCTTGCTCACGCTCTAATAGTTTCACATCTTACATTGTTCTATTTCGGATGGTACACATCCTCGAGGAAGTCTTAAACATCGACATCCACAAAATGTCTTCCCACACGTCGCACCAGCTTTTAATCCTCGAGCTTGTGTACTGCTATTGACCTAGCGTGCGCGCACACACCTCATAAAAGCTGCTCAAAATGAAAGGCTTAAAAGGTTGTCGGGTATTACTTTTAAAGGACTTGCCAACGCGTGAAAAAAGGACGAAAACTTTGTTTGCTTTTTTTTTGTTTTGCTTCTGTATATGTGTGTGTGTTCTTGGATGAAAATGGAAAGACGGTGGTTGTGGGCGATGTGGTGGTGCGGTCGACACTTATCTGTCGCTGGCAGGCGGTCAGGACGAAGGATATTCAGCTTGGGGAAATTTTCAAACCTCGGCAAATCGGTGCCAAGCCATGCGGGCGACAAAATCGTCAGCTAGAGCCAAAAACCCACCGAAAAAAAAACTTTATAAAACTATTCAGGACTTTTTGTAAATTTAGTCCTTTGAGTTTTTTTTTAAATAGATTAAAAACTAATTATTCATTTTAAATTTAGAAGTCTGAATAATATCCGGGAACAATTGTGCAATTATGACGGCTATATATTCTTCATTATCCTTCATTATTTTTAATTATGCTTGACTGTTGAATGTTATCCTTGAAACAGTCTCTCGTTGATTATCCTCTGACACGTGTTTCTCTCGTTGATATTTTTTAATTATCCATTCGCATTCGTTTTTATTCGCGTTTTCATTTATCATCATGTTGTTCCAAACGAATTAATATCCTTGTCCGGACCTGTAAGGATATACAATGCGCGCATCGCTAAATTCAGTCGCTGATATTATTCCTCACGGTTGGTAATCTCTATAGAATTGAGAACACAAAAAGTTTTCCGCCGCCGGGAAAACACGCTGTGTATGTATGTGTATATGTGGAAGTAGGGAGAGAAAAAAAAAGGAACACAACCACCACATCTCTATGAAAATACGTATTTGTATTTTAATAAAAGGATATTTGTCATGTATGAATATGTGAGTTGGCTGATGGAATAATTTCGCTCTTCATAATCCGTGGCAGCGTAAGGGTGGGATGAAGGACGAAGGACAAGCAACAATGTCGCTTGTTGCTCGCTGCTTGATTAAATTAATTTATGCCGAGGAGAGATGAGACCGTCACGCGAATTTTGCGTGCTCATGCCGACTTGCAGGATATGAAAGGATAATCAGATATTACGTAATGGGATTTTCGGAAAAACATGTTTTTCAAAATATCTAATTTGCATCAAGAATATCATCCACGTTTAAAATAAGATTTAAAGTATTAAAAAATATATAATTAGGTTTTACATTTTGCTTTTTTTGCAAAACTTGCTTGTAAAATCTTCACCAATCGATCAATTTACTTCAAATTAAAAGTATGCGTTAATAAGCAATAATTAACTCCACCAAATATCAATTAATTACCATTGATACTTTTTAAGTTATTAGCTGTTTTCCGCGACTTTTAGTTTTTTTTGTTGCATAAACTTATAAATTATTTTGCACACCCTGTAAGTTATATTTTTGCAACTTGCAATAGCCTATGTTATTCTCCTATGACCAAACTATCTCCATATCAAAATTTATCAAAATTCATTGAATGGTTTTTGCGTAGTTGCGTCACAAACATACATTTATCCCAAACATATTTTTAAATAGTATATAATTCTAGTTGTTTCTTATCCCTGACTTGATGTGCGTTTGCAACCCTTGTTTTCGGCCTCGTTGGCTGGCTTGCCGTCCGAAATAGTTGAAATCGCGGCCGTCGTTGTCGTCGGATGTGCGGATGGTGCGCCGCCGCCCGTCCGTCGTCGGGCGCAACGGTCCATAAAACGGAGACACTCACTGCTTGTTCTACATTCCTCCGGACAGACCGAGGCGCGGAGTGGAACCAGAAGGGGTGGGTTAAACCGGGCGCGCACCGAGCGAACGATTGCTTCCTTCCGAGGCACGAACTCGACTCGGCGGCGGCGGCAGCAACGCGACTTTTGGCAAAACGTTTCAAACCGGGATGAACAAGGCGTGCGCGGGGGTGGAGAGGAAGAAGGAAAGGTCGAGTAATACGGCAGTTCGAGCGATAAAACCGCTGGCTAATAGTCGTACGAGACTCGTACGTTTTTATGAATTACTATATCTTTCATAAACAGGACCGTATCAACCACAAAAATTATATAAAAAAATTTATTATTTGTATTTATTTAAAAATTTTATAAATCCGGTCCTGTGTAGTTGTTTTTAAATTGTGGTGATAGCAGAACGGCGGCCATGTTTACTCAATGCGGTATAATATACAAAGATAGCGCCTTTTCTGGCTGCAGATACGCTCGTGGTGAAATATGTACCGACGCTCGTTTTATAATAGCCTCGGTAATGCTGTGCAATATTGGCTGCCTACACCATGCCAGACGCCAGCAAACCGAAAGGTTATATAGGTTAAAGAATGCTTGGCTATTTGGCATTCACCCATTTCAACAAAACACACTCTCATCTTATCTAAACAATATTTATTTAACATAACTACCATTAGATGGCGTTGCAGTCGACTAATCACAGTATACTCAACAAAAACACACAACTTCTGCAACCACATCAACTTTAAGCACTTGTTTTATTCCGTAGATTTCTCATCTCATCTCACAATTTCTACAACTTCTCAGCTCGATTCAACAAAACTATCTGCGTTATATTGTCCTCCACGGAGGTTACCTGTTTGCTATTACCTGTTGTAGCGTGTGTGTGCACACTTTAAAGTTTAAACGTTTTCCGCAACGCGAGCAACTTTATGACGCTCGTCGTTTCATTTGAACGTGCACGCCGAGACACCATCTTAGGCGCGCATAAGTGCGATCATAAAACGCGCACGCGTGTCGCGAAATTACTATAGGCAACCAAGTATACTCTACACGATGTGAGCGGCTATATCAACACGAGTCGAGAGCTAGGTTTATTAACTTTTGCACAAACTTTGTAAACACTTGACGAGACACACGCTGCATAAATAAACGCATCATCTTTTATTCAGGATTCTCATCAAATAGCAGAAAAGATTAAATGTATCTGAATTATATTGGAGTGAAATAATAATAATAAGAACAAAATCGAAGGATTTGAAGGATTGGAAAGGAATCGAAGGACGATCCGCTTATTACGCATCGCTGGCCTTCATATTTAAGCTCGGCGTGCTTATTGGGTTGCGTGCTTTCTGCATTCTGCCGATATAGGAGATTGAGAATTTCGTCCTTGCGAAATTTCCACGGATTTTCACCCGGGGTATAAATAAACAAAAAAATCTATCCTACCTTGTGATTTATGATTGTTATTATCGTTGACTTTGATAATATTATGTTTTCGTATGAATTTACGCATGTGAACGCATACATTTTAATTAATTTAGTAATTAATGCATGCACAATGCATTCTATGCAACCCTTTCTGTTTGTTAAGGGATAAACTTGTATATAGGTGTATGTAGACATTAATTTTGCAGCGCTGAAAACCTACACGGATTTGTAATCTCGAAATGCGAAAATTTCGCAAATGAACTGGGTCGAAATGGGCGAAACCATATTAACCCTTTGATCATCATGCACGTGCATGCAAAACGCACAAACATAATAATAAAAAAAAACACCGGAAATATTTACGTTTAGCGAAAATTGCGAAATATTTGCACCCCAAATGCATCAATAATTACCGGATGCGGGTGAATGAATTCATGCGTGCCTATGCGTTTTAATTTTATTTCCAACTTTTAAATTGCATTTAAAATTTAAATTCGCTGCGGGCAATATGGCGCAAAAAATAATAAAATGAAATAAAAATTTTTATATATATAGAAATGGACGATTGCAAAAATTAATCTCGGCGTGTGTGCAGAGAGTTTAATTTTAATTTCCAACTAAAAAGCAATCGGAATGTTTTACGATGGTTTATGATGTCGTTTTTTGCATTTATTATTCACGTTTGTGTGCCTAATTCGATTTGCTGGTTCAATTTGCATTCTATTACGAAGTGGCATTTGCGTTATTTTTTAAATTAATTAATATTCATTCAAATAGAAAAAGTGCACATTTATACAGATTTGGAATGTGAATTTAGAATTAGTTAAATATTGTTATTATTTAATACTATTGCTCATTTTTTATCTATTCGGTTTCGGAATTTTATATTTTATGGAATTTTACGTAATTTCAAATTTTAACACTTTTAGTCACGTTTTTGAACTGTTTACTCTTTGTTATTTAAATATTTTTAATTTCTACCTTATAGAGAATCATCTGTAGATTAAGAATTTGTAAGTCGTGCCTTTCTATCGCTTTTAGTTTACGAGATATTTGCAATTGAAAAAACGTCAAAAATTGAAAAATTTACTTTTTAGCATTTTCCATAGCATTTTTCGATCTTTTACTCTATAAAATTAAATGATTTTAATATCTTATCTAATAGAGAATTTCCTAATCTTTCGTAATCTACAATCTTCTGATTGCTATCTCTTTTAGTTTACCAGATATCCGCAATTGAAAAAATGTCAAAAATTGAAAAATTTACTTTTTAGCATTTTCCATCGCTTTTTTCTACCTTTTACCCTATGAAATTAAAAGATTTTATTATCTCATTTAATAGAGAATTTTCCAATCTTTCATAATCTACTGGTTGCTATTTCTTTTAGTTTAGAAGATATTTACTTTCGAAAATCGTCGAAAAAATGATTAATAAAAATTAAGAAATTATTTTTTATTCTTATCTAATAATTTGGCACCAATATTTTATGTACCTAATACCCATTCCAAAGAAATGTATATACTTTACCTAAAAAAATAAAAAATATGTACTTCAATATTAATTTATTTATTAAAATTTAGTCATAAATTAACTCGGTATCGAATCGAAACGAGAAACTTTTATCGAAAACTTAAAAAAACTTTGATTAAGTTTAATAAGTTCAAGTTATACGTTTAATATGTATAATAATAAACGATTGAGACGTGCAAGACGTGGAGGGCGACGGATGCCGAAAGCGGGCGCGCACGGCAAAACTTTCCAGTTAGTTTTCCACTCGGAAATTTCCGCGCGCGCGATGGAAAATTTTCTTCGTGTGTGTTTTTTTTCGCCGTTCAGCAAAAAGTTTCCAATACTTTTAACAAGATATATGTATATTTATACGTGCGTTTCGCCAAATCGAATTCAATCAGCACTAACTAAATATATATACAGGGCGTTTACAAAACACGCATTAAAAAATAATTTTATTTTTACAAAATCACCATGAACACACTGTATACATTCCAATATACCTAATATCGCGGAAAACTAAGACGTATTCCCGGAGTTAACTCCGTCGAGTTAAGAATATTGAAAGTAAATGTATCATGCAAAAAGTATTACTTTTTTCGGGGAGAGAGAGTAAAGGGGGTTGGAGTGGAGGGGGTAGGGAGAAGAAAGAGGAAGTCTTGTGCTCGCGCTAAACGAAAAAGTTATAGTTTAACGTCTCGGCGACGCTCGTCGTCTTTTCTACAATGCACGAAAGATGTATTGCTTCTTTCCTCATCCCCGTCGTCGTCGTCGTCGTCCTTGGAGATTGAGATGCAGGACAAAAATTTGCAAACTTTTTCTATTAGATAAATTTCACTTACGTCATCAAATTTAGATTTAGATTAAAATATATATAAAAGTATTAAGTTTTTGGCTATTTTATTCTTGGTGAAATAATATAGGCAACCAAATATACGCATTATTGTTGAGTGGGTTGCCTACGCATGGAATGTAATATTATGAGCAGCCCGAGGGTTTTATTAAGGATATAGGCTTTTGTGCGCTGTGAGCACGTCAATGCAAAATGGATTGTTTGCGTGCGCGTTGCATTCATAATTGCTTTAATTAAGTTGTTTTCGTTATCCCCGGAACATCCGCCATGTTCGTGCTCGTCCTGGCGTGCAATATGCAAACGCCGGCCTTGGACTAATTTTGATCAGCGTGTTATTAAGTGTGCATACCACAATCACATTCACATGAAATACAGGATGAAAATTTAAATGATTAAATATTTAATTATTAACTTAAACAAAGGGGATGTAATTTACAGAATTTTGCGTTTGAGGTCAAGGAAAGGTTAAAATTGAGTCCCATGGAAAGCTAGAACGGTAATAGCGCATTTCCTCTAATTCCGATCCACCTGCCTAGCACGTAGTCCTGAACCTTTCTCTCCGGCCGGATGTGGTGGAAGTGGTCTTATCGCGCACGCGGCGGGCGACCAAAAACTGGCGGGCCAACTGTTTTCACGCGAATGCGCTAGTGCGGTGGCATAGGTCAGGAGTTTGGCATGCTGGGGACGGCGCAGGACCACGAAAGGATATGCTAACGACGATCGTTTTTTCTTCCGACCGGCGCGCGTTGATTACGCCGCCCTGCCGAATGGCGGCGCGCATTTAATTACATTTTTTGCGGCGCTGCGTCTCTCTCTTATCTCCGCACCACCCGCCGACTGGGCATTCTAGGACCTTCCTAAACGCACAAAAGGAAATTAATGTTTTGCATCAACGCACAGAAAAAAATTTCACTCAAGATTTATTTTTTTTAACAACGCCACGGTTTTTAATGAAATTTTAAAAGTGGGCGGAGCATAAATTTAAAAAAAAATGTTTTATTATATAATAATAACAAATATATTGATAAAAAAGAAAAAAAGTTATTCTCCGGACTTCTATTTTTCCTTTTTTGTATTCTCTAAGATTCTCGACGACGACGCAAATAAAAGAGAAGAACTCACGCTCGCGCATTCTGCAAATTGCCCTCAATAAAAGTTCCAACTTGCCCCCTTTTATTCCCCTCACCCTCCCGATGGGTGGTAGCGCATCAAAGCGAAACATAACATATGGATAACGGCTTCTAATCGCGTAATTGAAACAAATTACGCTGAAATACCCCCACTCCTCTCAGCGGGTACTAAAATATTCCGTGCACGCTCGCAACTTTTATCTCTGCGATAATATATTAAACGCAATTTATTCTGTTGCAGACTCACCAAAGAAGCCCTACATCCTCATCGATAACCGCATCTTGGACCCGGGTAATTTATTCATACCGGTCAAAGAGAACACTGATTTGACCGTGTCTTGTGTGGTCGATGGAGGAAATCCCAAACCAGCTTTAACATGGGATTTAAGTCTAGGGTCGGCTGCGTTGTTGGATGCACCTGAGGTGACGTACCAAGCGCCGAATATTACCGAAACAGTGCGTGAGCAGAAAGTTGGTGCTCGGAATGATGCCCGATTGGAGAGGGTTATGAGGGGACATCATAATGCTACACTAACCTGTATTGTTCATCATCTGGCTCTTCTTCAACCGCTGAATGTGTCACTACTCCTCGATGTTCAATGTAAGTAGAATTTAGATATTTTTCGGTTTGTGGATTTGGGTTATGGTTGTTTGGGAAACAAAGTTTTGTGCAAAATGTCAACGATTGTAAAAAAGCTGTCAAACTAGGACAGCACGTAAAAAACCTCTCCCCCACAAGTCATGTCTAAATTTTTAGTGATAGAAATCCTGTAACTGCAAAAAAAAATCTCAATCGTCATTCCTAAGTCAAGCCCCGACGTCGTAACTGCACGCCTCGTCCTCACCGCCCCCCTCCACCACAAACCCTTTTTTCAACCCGACCCCCACACCATTCTAGTAACCGAAGTTAAGCCGAAGAGACGAGAGTAAGATGCGCGTGCGACGATAGAGGCGTGAGATTGACTATGCAATACATCTGCCGGGCGTGCAGGAATCGCATTCAGTATCAACCCCGTCCGACGGGGGTGTGCCGCTGCAGCTGTGGCCTGCTGAACGTGTGCTATCGCGACGACACGTGCCCGTTCTGCGAAAGGGAGGTGGAGATCAAGTGCAAGACTGACAAGGCATCACTGCCACGAGTCGGCGAAAAGATCAACGACATGATACGCAACCTCTGCAGCTGCTACAAGTGCTGCCCAACGTGCAATTGTAACCCTTGTTGTGTACAACACCCGCTGCCACCTGGTTGCGTGTGTGGTTGCAACCATTCGGCGGGGGGCGTGTGCTGCCGGAAGCCAAGCCCCCCGCATACATGCTGTTGTGATCCTACACCACCATCACCACCGCACGTTGCATCGTGCTGCGATTGCTGTGATACCTCGCCGTCATCCTGCGTGCCTGTCTGCACGCCCTGCTGCCCTGTACCAGCCGACTGCGATTGTTGTTGCGCCATCATCTGCAAACGCCCATCGCTGTACTGCAAGTTATCCCTCGCCACAGTTGGCGTGTTGTTGATGCTTACCATCGCTATGGCTTACTATTACTATAAGAACTATTACCTCAAGTGTTCAACAGTGCGCCGATACAAAATGTGGTGAGGGCCGTGCGGATCTAGTTGGTCCAGGACGGGTGACAGCCAATGTTGTCACACTGACACAGCTGAAAATTTAAGTGCAGTATTTCGTCATCAATAAATTTTTAATTCGCTTTGTCTACACTTTCTGTGTGTTGTGTTGGGTGTGGACTATGTCTATCTGAAAATTATGGGAGGTGATCCAAGATGAACCAAAATGAGTAGTGAATACTACCCTTATTATGACTCGGGTAGTCGAACCTTTACGGGGAGTAGTGATTACCTTCAATATGGACGTATGTATGGGTCAAGCACCTCCTATAGTTCAGGATATCCTTACCCTGATTATGTTCCTGGGAGGAGGCCGAGGTCCAGTACAAAAGGAGGTCCGCGTCCACCGAGTCCTATACCAAATGATTGTCGCAAGTTGTTTCCGGGTGTACCATGTCCTCCCAAAAGTAAAAAGTGTTGTAAATATGCTGAGGATACCATTAATCAACACCCTTCGCAATGCACATGTCGAAAAATACCGAAAATTGTCTCCAAGACAGTGTTTAGAGCTGCTCAACCATGTAAGGGACCATGTGAAGCTGATCCCACTTGTCAGCATTGTATGCATTATGAGTTTGCTCCGGCACGGTGTTCTAACCCTAAACCACAGAAAGTGATAAATCCGGTTAGTTTTGAAAAGTACTACTACCTAGGTGTACCTTCATTATCCAAAAACACAGAACCTGTATTACAGGCTAGGTTTAATCGTTTGGTACCTTGTAATCAAGGTTTGAAAATTCGGGAGATTACTTCAATTGATGATGTTGATTTAACATCGAAATATTCTTTGTCTTCTGTGATTTCTGCACCTTATGAAAGCACAGAATATGATGGTACTTATCCGTATTCTTCTGCGGCAACTGGGTCGTTTGATATCAACACCAGTAGTAGTAGTACAATCACAGAATCTTCCCTGGATGCTGAAAGAGGTCACAGATTGATGGCAATAGGTCCCACGAGAAATAAGGAAGTTGAAAATGTTCCGATACAGAAAAATCATGCTACAGGTCCTGATATGATGACCTCCAAAGTAGCAGGGACCAATTATTCTAAGCCAGGTATTGCTAACCGAGGGATATCAGCTGATTCATTGAAAACTATCCAGGAAGCACCTTTGAAGTTGACTGTTGCTAAACCTGTTGATGGTATGTTACCCACTGCTTATGATGAGACTCCTGTGAAAGAAAAATTAATGAAAGCGGATACAGTTAGCAAAGCACACTCGGGTAAACCCTTCATGGACCAAGAATTTAAGAAGAACCTGATTTCTCAATTGGACTGTGATAGACGGGACATAGAAATTGCTTCTATGGGTTGCGGAAGGGCTCCACCAGCGAGATTTTACGACCCGGGAGGTTGCAGGTCATGCGCAACTTTGAGAGATCATTGGATTCCAGGTACACCTCCTGCACCCCCACCAACACCACGCTCATCCATTACACCTTCAATACCATCTAGGGAACATCAAATTAGTGCTTCAGTATTAACAAAGTTACTTGTTAAGGAAAGGGTTAAGAGTACTAATGATCAAAGTGTTCAAACTGATTACCCTGATCATTTAAGGTTTAGGTCTACAATAGAATCTTTCTCAACACCTGTATTTGATAGTGATTCTAGTGAGATGAGTAGGTTTGGTCCTAGTGTTAGTAGGAATATGATCCAATCTATGATCGAGACCTTATCTCCTGTTTCAAGTGTTAGGTTGGTCAGTAAGACGCAGTCTTTGACGATTATTTCTAAAAGTACTCGGCTAGTAGTTGATACACCTCCTAGGGTTCCTTCTAGGGACCTTCAAAAGTTTAATAGTGCGAAAGTTGATAAAGGAGGTGAGCAATTACAGAAATCTAAGGTTGAAGGTACTAAGGTTACAAATACAAAGGGAACAGTAAAGAAAGATTCTGCAGTTGAGGATATTCCTAATGAGGCTTTGATTGCTGTTGAGGATATTGATGCTGTCGAAAGTTCTAAGGTAAAGGCTTCACCTAGTTATAAAGAAAAAGATAAGAAGGAGAAAAAGAAAAAAAGTAGGATACCTAAGTTGATTCGTCATAAAAAGACACCTAGTAATACTACAATTATTAGGAACAAAACAAAACGGGAGAGGTTTAAGTTTTTCCGAAGGAAAGGTACCAAAAAACCAAAGGCACCTACTGTGGTTAATACCGATCAACAAACTGATAAAATAGAGATAGATAGTAAACCAGAATTAAAGGTTAATACAAGAGGGGAGGTTGATATCCGTGTTATTCCTAGGAAATCTGTTTCTACACTTAGTATTTCTGAGTCTACTTTAGTTATTCCACCATTTGAACCTGAAACGGTTTCACCTACAGAATCTGAAGAAAGCAAAAATTCTGATGAGTCTAATACTTCCAAAGATTCTGAAGAATCAAATGAATCTAAAGATTCTAAAGATTCTAAAGATTCCCAAGAGTCTGGTTCAGATAATTTACAGAATAGTTCTGAAACATTAGTGGTGGAAGTCCCAAAAAAGAAGAAAAAGTTTTCAAAAAAATCTAAAATTCCAATTTTAACTTCCCGGTCATTGTCCAACTCAGATATAAGGTCAAAAACACTTAATAAAGAGGATTCAGAATCTACAGTTGATTCAACTATAGAATCTGAAGATACTACAATAAAAACAACTTCTACGAAAACCACATCTGCCCCTTCTGCCCCTTCTGCATCACTCGTTTCTCATTCATCTAAAACTCATTCCCATTCAACTTACAATTCTTCACCACAAAGATCTAGATCCCTTGCATCATCTAAAACCATTTCAACTTTAGAAACAATTCCTGAAATAGAACGATATCAATATAGGCCCCTACGACACACACATCACAGATACTCTGACATTGATTTTATTAACTGCGGGTCCAATTCACTGAGTAATACAAATGATCGTCACTCAGATAATTGGAAGTACCGACGAGTCCACCCCATGGGGCATCACCATCATCATCATCACCACCAACATGAAGATAGAGAAAGGGAGAAGGGTTATCAGTCTCGTATGGGTATTCCCTGCTATGGTCCCCCGGTCCTTTTTGATAATGGCCAGTGTCGTAATCAATGCACCCAGAAAGATCATGATTACCACAGGTCTCATGGGACTTGTTATACAAAAGAATATGAAGTCTACCAGTCTGAAGGTGTTTGTTGCATTGGTAGTACTTTTAAACTAGCAGGAACGGATAAAAGGTTACAGAATGAAAACCTGCAGACTGTGCCCATGTTTGGAGATGTTGGAAGTCAAGCAGATCATACTTCTTTATTCCGAAGACTGGATGAGGAGTATCTACGAGGGAGTTTTGGAAAGAAACTACCTTTTAGGATACCTTCGAGTATTTTGGAGGGTTTGAAGGAGCATACTAAGGAACCTTTGAAAATCTGTATAAAAGATCGTGGGATACAAACACCTGGGAAGTGTCCCATACATGGGGATAAATTGATCAAAGAAACTGTGATCCCTGTCATTCCAAATAAAAATATCTACCAACCAATGGCGATGGAGAATCATTCCAAGATGAACAAATCAACAGATGTCTATCAGGCTACTTTTGCTGATGATAAAAATAAAAATAAAAATGCTGAACCAGGAGATCTTGAGCCTCGGTCAAGCAGGACCAGTTTAGATGACGATGATGACGATGACGATGAAGATAATATTGAAGAACCCCTAGAAACACAAAAAACCGTCTCTGGAGCTGAAGGTATCCGACGTAGGAGATACAGTGATGAAAGCATAGCAAGCTGGAGATCCAACCGATCTAACCGATCAAACCGTAACTACAAACAACGTCGAGCTGTCAGGTATGAAGATGACCGGTACAAAAAACGAGGTTGGTTAGACCGTTTAAAGCGCAAACAAGTAAACGAAGACAGTGATGATTCCGATGACTATGATGATCGTAGATACTCCCGAGGTAGAAGTAGATCCCGAAAAAAATACGACAACCGCTCCAGAAGCAGGGATAGATCCCGAAGGGATAGAAACCGCTGGTATATGGATGACAAAGACTACTATGAATATGTCAACAGAAAGAATGGTTGTGGTAAACGAGGTGGAAAAAGAAGATCACGAAGTCGCAGTGGTCAATGCGGGAAAAGATCCAGATCCAGGGGTAGAACCAGAGGCGGCAGGTATAGAGATTACGATGATGCTAACACCTACAGACCTTCACGAAAACCAGATTCTGTCCCCCACCACGATGAGGAGGTTGAGTGTCATAATGACTTTGGTATTGCAAGGCAAATATTCGGAGGGGAATGCATGCATGACGGGTTGCTCTGTGGGTGCGAGGTGGGCAACTGGGATTACATCAGACGTCCGGAGGTGTTATCAGTGTTTGTTTTTACGGTGCTTATGATTATCAACCTTATTCTGGCAACGGTGACCGGGTGACTTTGTTAGATAAAAAGTATTTTGATCAATTTATTCTAAGTCTATTTTAAAACCCTTCCAGGGTTGGTTTTTTGTTTTTTTAAAGCAAGGGATGATTCAGAGACACATTTGATATGCGAGAGCAATGTTTGCTTTGCATATAATTCTTGTGTTTGCTTAAAATGGGGCGCTTTCGTGCTTTCAACCCTACGCGCTTTCAACCCCCGCTATCCTCGTAGTTCTTTGGTGTTTCGGTGTTCAACTACTCTTCAACAAGTTTAACTACCGCTTTGCTGCGAGTGTTTTAAGTAAACAACCTTACCTTAGTGCAAAAGTACTCATATACAGTGTGTTTATAACATGAAAAATATTTTTAGATATTTTAATTTGATTTTGAATTATTTTGGGGTTTGGAAAATGAACACCCTGTATATTTGGAAAATATGTAGTCGTTAGGGAAGTTAGTTCGCCGCGAGGATGCGCGCGGATATCCTGTTTAGCTGTTTAGAGAATTTCGGCGTTTCGGCTTTCTCGTTGCGGCATTGGAGTCGTGCGGGGGATGAAGGTGAAGGCTCTCGGCTTCCATTATCCTCGGCAAGTCAAACACGAGGCTGTGGCGGCGGCATCTTCGACTCGACGCGCGACGACCGCGACTGCCAACCAATAGCAATACATAAATTTCCGATGGCATTAGAAACCGGCTCAGACAATAAATGAACTAAGCATTTGTTACAGAAACTTTCTAAGTTCGCAACTAATATCGCCCGCTCGTAATATGTCAAGAGTCAAGATAAACACGAATACGTATTATCTCTCAAACATTCGACCCCTTACCGCCTCCCATACTCCTCCCTATACAGAGAGATAGAACTAATCTTCGATCTTTAATCTTGTTTGCCGAATTACTGATTGCTTTGCTCTGCGATCGGTTTTCTTTTGACTCTAGACGACAAACAACATGCGAGAACGTTTGGTTGCCTAGATATCGCGGGTTTAATAAAGGTCCTTATATGCCATTACACGCATTAGGACTCGGTTGTTGGCTTTCGAGTCAATATGTTTAGGCACTAATAACTTTAGTTTACGACGCCAACTTTTGCAATAAATTAACCGATGAAAATTACCCAAATTAATACAATATACTATATTACACCAAAAGATGGCAGCACTCGTCGCTATACATCTTTTTCCTAACGAAAAAAGTATTCAAGTCTCGATGAGGATAAAGACGAGTATCGTAAACGTGCCCGAAATATGAATGCGTCTTCTCTTATCCTTGCCTCTCGTATGTCGAAGCAGGATACACACTCTTCATTCCTGTTAAGGAGCGTATAAGAATGATGTTATACGCGTGTGATCGCTCCGCGATGAGGAATGACTTCGAAAACTCTTAAAAAGATAGAACGAGACGTGATGATCCTCCAGCGAAGGATAATACAAGCAAAAAAGGAAAACGCCTCGAAAAAATGTGCGATATTGCGGCTGCGGTGAAGACGACGAAGACGACGCAATAAAATGCGGTCGAAATGCGCGCCGGGGATATTTTCGATATATTTATGACGTCATTCGACGTCATATTGCATCGGGGGGCATAAATAAGATTATAGACTATCTCAATCCATTTTTTACGCTGTAAATTTGTCGAGTTGATATTTACGATGTAAAATTTTTGTTACAGACACGCCATCTTTCGCCATTTCAAGGGAACCAGGTTTTGGCTTTCCTATCCGTGAAGGTATGCCTGTATCACTTAAATGTGATGTTGATGCTAACCCTAAAGCTGCGCCAATATGGCAAAAAGACGATACGGATCCACCTGTGCAACAAACACCGGATGGATTCCTGAATTTTACCGAAATACGACGCGAACACAGCGGATGGTACAAGTGCATCTCACGCCATCTACTGGGGAGATTCTCAAGTATCGGCTACTACTTAAACGTCAGATGTAAGTGGATATAACGCCGGCTAATCATATTTATATAGATAGATGGCTGACTTTGGTGGTAACTGTTGATGCATGACCATCGGCATGATTTAGGGTCTGCCGTTGTCATCGTCACACCCCACAACAATAAGGGATGATCTCGATGTGCGCGACTATAGCAACTGCATGAGTATTAGGGGTGGAGGTGGGAAAAAGGGTTGTGTTGTGCAGAATGTGCATGGGGATGAAGGCGGCGCTGGCGACACGCTCTCTCAGTAATATATTATTCATTATTAATCCATCGCGAACAGCGCGCCGGCGGTCGGACGGGTTATTAATTAAATACGTCTGGTCATAACTCAGTCGCGCACATATTGGGCGCGCACCATCCTCGCCCACGTGGGGTATGCAATGTGCAACACAGCGCTGCATGTCAAGCAGGCTGGAAATTAATCGAGTTTATTAAAAGTTACATAATATCAAACATAAACGCAACAAAATCTATTGTTTTATATAATGTTTCTTTTGTTATTTAATTAATTGTAAACAATTCATTGCGAATTGTTTAAATACGTTTGTTGTGTGTGCACAGTGGGTTGCCTACCATTCACACAACGCGCAAAGTATTGTGTTTATTGTTTCGATTGTCAACGGCAAACACACGACGCGGATTAAACTCACGCGCGTCCTCTGGTGGTGTTTTTCTGCGTCGATATTCATCACGTTGACACATTGCGCAAACAAAGGCGTGCGCGTAAACAAAAGATGCTTGATATTAACGCAGATTGTCATTTTCAGACGATATGGAAGTGACGCAGGAGCCTGACTTTGACGTTGGCGAGCTGAGCTCGCCGGGAAGACAACTTGAAGTGGCGCTAGGTGGCGCTGTGCAACTAGCGTGTCCGCCAGGTGAGCAATATATATTTTTAAGTAAATAAAAACTTTATGGAGGTTTTATTAGTGAAAACTTTTGTTTCGAGAGTTTTTATTGTGTTTTCGCACCGGGTGATAAATGAAGTGGTTGACTGGAAGTAAAATCACGAATGGTGGACGTGTAATAAATGTTCATGGCGGCGGTAGCGGTGTAAAAAGGAAAACATTAACGCAAAACAAAAATCGACACCGGAAATTAACGCCAAAAACAAAACAATATACAATATGTCCAGAGATTAATTAAAAATAATTTATTCTACGAAGAATTTTATCGGCCATTTTGTTTTTTGATCAAACTACTCGCTGGGTTTGTGTGTTATCAGTTAGTTTTATCTTTATCTGTATTTTTTCTTCTTTCGCGCAGACATTTAGACGTTACTCGATTTTTTTTCGGGATTTTAGCGTGGCATGCGTGCAGTAAACCCCCGCAGGGGTCGTATATCAAGATGGGTCCGTCGCGTTCGCGTTTTATCCCGAGCGCTGCGCGAATCCGCTGACGATTCGCATCCTCGCAGCCGGCGGGGGATGAATAGAGTTTAGATTAGCATCAAATTGGTGTGTGACGAGCATAAACAAAGTATATTTCATGGATTTCGGGTGCCAGCGCTATGTTGGCGGTGTGTGTGGGGCGGGTGTATGGATGAGTGGCCTCGCGGCCGAGGGTGGCCTAGGGGCTTACATAACGAGCGGTGACATATTTATAGCGCGTGCCGATCGAGAGCGATAACCGGACTCGGATTTATTTTGTTGTTTTTTTTTCTCTGGTTCTCTCTTTTGGAGTCTATTACTTTATTCAACAGAATGCGAGTGTGAGTATTATTTGAATGGGAGTTTATTGCGGAGGCCATTTTGGGATTGGGAGATGACTTATTTAAGTTGTTTTTGAAATTGTTGTAATTTGGGATGTCTTGGTGATAAAAATTAATTAATTGTGGGGTTTTGATGTGGAAGAGAGTGAGGTTATAATTACCTTTGTGTGAAAATGATAACTTTAATAATGTTAAAGTTATAGTTATATTATATTCACCAAAGTTACAATTCATTTTTAACTAGGAAAGAGATTGTTTTTCTTGTTTTATTTGTTTGTAGATTTATGCAAAAGTAATGAGTGAAACGTCATTTTGTTTGTTAATAAATTCTTGTTTAGTTGACATAAAATTTATTCAATTTTAATATTTAGTTCAAAAGTTATAACCAAAAAACTATCCAAAATTAAAAGAATTTTCTTGCATTTTTAACAAAAACATTAATATTAATGCATTAATAATAATAAATAATAATATAATTTTGTATTGAATAAAACTATATTTAACTACTTTTATAATAACGTCGAAATCATAAAAATCCGATAATTGAAACTTGTTTAATTACAGTTTTAAATTGCAAAAAGAATAAAATCAACGAAGTTCCAGTTTTTTCATTTTCTAGTTTTATATGAAATAAATTTTTACCAAACTAATAAATATAGCGGCATATATTGACATATATTTGTCAATAAATTCTCTTTCGTTTGAGGTAAAATTTATTTAATTTTAATAATTAGTTCAAAAGTTATAGTCAAAAAACCACAAAAAATCAAACAAATTTTCTTGCATTTTTAATAAAAGCATTAAAAACTGAACATTTCTTTGTTAGAAAATTATTCTTGTGTGTATTATTTATTTATTGTGATGTTTGCTGCATTTCTTTATCGTATAAAGTTATTACCTTTTAGTGAAGTCGACGTATTTCGGCCTTGATGCATCTACAGTTTATATTTCTTAAATAACACGTAAATATTCAATGCATACTATGTAGAATTCTTCTAGCATCTTACACTGATACTATCAGTGTTTATAAACAAACCAGTTTTTCTTATCTCCTTCAACTTGTGTGCCGTCGCCACGTTCTCAGCACACGCGATCGCCTCGCAAACGGTGTTAGTCTAAGTTTGATCGTCCGGTAATCAACACGCGCGCGTATTCTACGCGATCCGTTACATTTCTTAATTTTTCTACGCATTAATATGTAATATTCCTAATTATGGTAATTACCCTTTGTTTAATTACAATTTTAAGATGAAAACAAAAAAATCAAAATATTTACTATTTCTCATTTTTTTCTAGGAATAACTGGATGCTGGACAAGAGTTGACCAAGGCACAGGCCGTCTGGAACCCCTCGGAGCATCCCAAGAACTTCGCCTGGATCAGGTCCTGTACCAGGAAGCCGGAGAATACCGATGCGTGGCTCCAAATCGCGACGCCATGCGGAAATACGACTCGTTACGAAGTGTCCACAGCGTACACGTCGCCATCACCGGTGAGTCACATAAACAATACTATCTCTAACAAAACAACTAACATCTTAAAACTCGTATATTTATATATCAAAATACACATTTAACAAAAAGTTAAATGAAGCAATAGTTAATTTATATTTTTATCTGGTCCATGACATCATGCAGAGCATTTCGCATTTCGGGGTTGGTTATTAATGATATTCGCATTTGTTCTATTTGATTGCGTACGAGGGGTTAGTTTGCCTCTCAGTGTATATTTGCGTGGTGGTCGCCTGCACTTTGATCTCGGCGTTTTTCCACTCGGCGTTCTTTTATCTCCGCGCGTCCTGTTTCGCCATCAATGGAAGGGGTTAGGCTACGACTAGCTTTTTTCCTCATTTATTTTTATCACCACGATAACGAAAAAAAACGCGCGCGTTTTAGTCATTACTTAAAATTTAACCCTTGTTGAAGGGGTGAAAATGCAAACACCACACAATAAAAAACACAAACATTGCTTGCTTTTTTAATGTTTTTGATGAATGAATAAATTTTTGGAGGAAAGGAAATATGAAAAAGTCGCTGGCGCGCTGGTTTTGCGGCCCTCCCGGGAGGACGACTAGCGGGGTGTCTTTTAGATTTATGATTTTCCAATTGATCGCGACTCAAACTGACTTTGCGGCAATTCCCACGGCGGCAGGGAGCCCGAAGGACTCGAGGAAGTTAAATGACTTTGTAACGTTCCCACATCTTTGCCAGTTAATAACTTTATATAATATTCCGCATTGCGACTCAGATTTTAATGAAAATTTTTGGGTTTTTGTTAATTATTATGAAAAGTTAATGATGCTAATGATTTGCAATGATTTTTTAAAGAATTATTTACAACTAGCTTTAACCCGCGGCTTCGCTCGCGTTGAATCCATCAAATAAATATTAGAAGTCATTATACATAGTTGAAACAGATTGATAGAAAGAATGTATATTTCACTGCTTGGCTAGGATTATCTATGTGAAAAAATTACTACATGCAATAAAGTTTTAAATTTTAGTTGGAATGCTAGATGGCGTTAAAGTGGTCAAATAACCAGATGCAGAGGTATTAGTGACTAAACAATTTCTTTATTTTATTTAAAAAAATAATTATTTTTATTAAATAAAAAGTAGCCTATAACCTATCGGGGACCACTAAGAATATGTGTACAAATTTTCATGATGATCTGTTAAGTCGTTTTTGCGTGAAAGCACGATAAACTTCAGGACATTCGCATTTATAATATTAGTAAGGATTTTCGAATTTGAGTAATTTTTTTCTTCACATTTTTGTTTATAACTTTTGTTCTAATTATCGGATTGCTTCAAAATTGATTTTTATTAGTAAAGAATGAAAAGATCTAACAAGTAATAGACAAAAATATACATTATTACAGCGACATCTATCATTAAAACACAATAACTTTTTCAAAACACTAATATTTTGTTTTTTTTTTACAAATTTTTGCTTATAACTTTTGAAATAATGGAACAATCAGCTTAAAATAAACGACAATATGAAGAGAATTAAATTGTTTATCATAATTACAGTTTTATAATTGATAAATATGTTTAATCATTCTTTAAAAAATGATTAACACTTTTTGAATTCAGAAAAATGTTTTTTTTTACATTTTTCTCTATAACTTTTGAAATAATTTTTCAATCCACTTAAAACAAACGGTAACATGAAGATAATTAAATTATCTACCATATAATATAAAATAATTATAGTTTTATAATTGGTAAATATGTTTAATCATAGTTTAAAAAATGATTTACCCTTTTTAAATTCAAAAAATGTTTTTCTTTATATTTTTCTTTATAACTTTTGAAATAATTATTCAATCAACTTAAAATAAATACAACAAAATAAATTTTTTTTTCATGGTTAATTAATATCAACTTAATAATATTAATGATTCGTAATGATTTTTACGATTTCCCCTTTCTGGGGCCATAAAACGCCGCTCCAAACATGTTTAAATGAAAGTTAAATGAAACAAAGAAAATTTGCCGCTTGCGCATTCAATTTCCTTCTTGTTTCATAACCCCCTACCCCTAATCAGGCGGGCGCCATGCTTCTAAGATGTAAGATACTCATCCGTTGCCGGTTCGCGTATCATTCGAGCGGCGTTCCCGACATTTCAAGTATCGTTTGCATAAGCAAGAGCGCAAATACCATTTCTCCACCTTGCACCCCTTTTTCTCTCACAGAGAGCATTGGTGCCATCTTGTATTTTATTCGTATTGTATCCGAGCGAAAGTGAACGGCTGAATAGTAAACTGGGAGAGTGAAAGTTTTTCCTGCTGTTGCTGTGAGCAGAAGAAAAGGGTAAATACACTCGTTGAGAGCGGGGTGTGAGGGGGATGCGCATCGGCTGTCTGATTAGTTCGTTACAAGTATTCGTCGTTACCGCAATTCTCTTTCATGCCGCTGACGCTGACGAAGTTCGCAGCGAATGTTGCGGCTTTATTCGTTAAGTTTAATTAAAAAAGAAGCCGCAGGGTACGATCTTACCTAGCGCAGAGGGTAAAAACAAACCATTTACGACCTAACACACATATAGCCACCGAGAGAAAAAAATTTAAGTATTTTGAAGACAGGAAAAAACGTTGAAATTAATTTTGGACTAAAATTTTCTTAATTTATTTGTTATCAAAAATTTTGTTTGTAATTTTTTTGTGTTTGACGGAATATAAAATTAAGATTTTTTTGTTTGTTGGTGAGATAACGATTGTTTGTTTAACGTCTGCGAAACAACATTTTTTATTATTTTTTCTTTGCTTTTGTAATACGGAAATTAACAAATCAGGCATATTTTGCTATTTTTGTTTATAACTTTTGAAATAATTAAACAATTTGCTTGAAATACACGAAAATAGAAAGATAATTAAATTATTTATCATATTGAGTAAAATCATTATGTTTTTATTGTTGATAAATATGTTTAATTGTTGTTTAAACAATTATTTTCACTTTTCACATCAAGTCAAATTTTTCTTTAAATTTTTGTTTATAACTTTTGAAATAATTATGCAATCAGCTTAAAATAAACGACAATATGAAGAGAATTAAATTATTTATTATGTAATACAAAATAAATATAATTTTAGAATTGGCAAATATGTTTAATCGTTGTTTCAAAAAATTATTTATATTTTTCAAGTTCAAGTATTGCTTTTCTTTGCATTTTTATTTATAACTTTTGAAATAATTATTCAAACAGCACAAAATAAACGACAATATAAAGATAATTAAATTATTTATAATATAACGTAAGAAAATGAAAGTTTTTAAATTAGTAACTTTATTTAATCGTTGTTTAAAAAAAATTAATTTTTGATTTTCACTTTAACTGAACAAAAAACGTTATATTTTTGTCGCCGGTGAGATAACGATTGTTTGTTAAACGCCTACAAAAAAACTTTTTCATTTTTCTATCTCTCAACTCTCCATAATGCGAAGATTAACACATAAACACGCAAAAACGCATAAAACTGAGTTAATCTATTTTCATTTCATTTTCGACTCGCAAAAAACAAAAGTCACCGAAAGAAAACGCTTCAAAAACTTTTATACCGTTTTTTTGTCCGCTGATTACGTTGAATTTAGTATGAAGATGAATTAAAGTTGGAAACAAAAGATAAACGAGCAGGTAATGTCGTTTTCGGACGATAATAAAAATGTTTTTACATTTTTATCTTTTTTTCCAAATTTTTTGCAAAATAAATTAAACAATGAAAATTTTTATGCGACCATTTTATACCCCTTGTATAAATTTATAATTAGCACTAAAAATTTTTATTCTACCGCTGTTAGTTTCCGATATATAACGATTTTTCCACATTTAACAAGCAGTGACATCTTGCGTGCAATTCATCCGCGTGCTTTTGTGGCTTTTCCTCAAGACGCAGCCAGCCCACCTCCTCCGGGCAGACGATAAAACATTATATAACATTATAATGATCCGATGGAATTGTCGGAATGCGCGGCGGTGGAGTTATTACGCTAATGGATTTTCATTCTTTTCTCTCATTCTCCATCTTCATTCTTCATACTCGCGTACGATGTTATGATGTTATAATATTTATCCACTTTGTAGGTCGGAGTTCAGAGTTCGACTTCTTTTTACGTTTCCTTGGCGAGCTGCAAGGGAAACGTGGCTTTCATAATTTCCTCGAGTTGTTTTCTTTGCTGCACGCGCGCGCTCCTCGATAGATTTTAACGCACCATAATGGCGCTTTTATAGTTTTATAGCATTATATAGGTCATAATACGCTTAATGAAACATTTATCTTGTTAACAATGTTAATATACGTGCGCAAAAAAGCGGAGGAATGATCTGAAATTAATGGCAAATAAAGAAAACAAAAATGAAGCGAGTCATTAATCAAGATTCGTGATGGGCAAAAAATGCGTGATTACAACGACATCTATCATTAAAACACGGAACTCTTTTGAAGCTGGAAGGTTTCTTTACGTTTTTTCTTTATTTTTGCTTATATCTTTTATAATAATTAAGCACATAAGTTAAAATAAACGACAATGTGAAGATGATTCAATTATTTATCACATCGAGTACAATAATTATTGTTTTATTATTGGTAAATGTGTTTAATCGTTGTTTAAATAATCATTTACATTTTTAAATTCAAGTTTTCTTTTTGTTTACATTTTTGTTTATAACTTTTGAAATAATTTTACCATCCACTTCAAATAAACGGCATTTGAAGATAATTAAATTAATTATCATAGAGAGTAAAGAAATTAGTGTTTTATTATTGGTAAATATGTTTAATTGTTGTTTAAAAAATTATTTACATTTTTTAAATTCTTGGAATGTTTTTCTTTACATTTTTGCTTATAACTTTTAAAATAATAACACAATCGACTTACAATAAACGACAATATAAAGATAATTAAATTATCTATCATATAAAGTGAAATACTTACAGCTTTATAATCTGTAAATACATTTATTCGTTGTTTAAAAATTTATTTTAA